GGGGGGGGGAGTATAGAGATTTTTATTTTGCCTTGAAGTCGGCTCGACCCCTATTTGATCATTGTACGTTTCGCAAATATGTTGGGGGTCCAAGAGGGCAGCACCCCCTAGCAGGGTCAAGGAGCAGCGCTGCCGGAACAAATTTTAGTAGTAATGCTATTTTTAAATTTTCTTTACTATTTCTATTTGGTTCATCGTTTGATTATATTGGGCAATTGCATAAAGACCATAGTATTTTAAAACTTTTAGGGGTGGGGGGACGGGGGGGGCAATTGCCTCAAATTCATATAATAAAGACTAAAAAATAGATGTAGTAGGACAAATTACCTACATAATCATATAATAAAAAATGTTTAAATTTTTTTTTTGGGGGGGGGAAGGGGGCAATTGTCCCCCTGGGCATAGGGTGGATCTGCCCTTGGCAGACAGTAGCATTTTGCTTCATAAGTATGAATGTGCTAAAGATGAATGATGGTGGACTGTGATATGTCATAGTAGATTATTGCTTAGGTGCAGATGAAAATTGAATACTATGCAACTAAGAAAAGAAATTAAAATGATTTGACCAAAAGCAGCGCAAAGTTAAAATAACAGACAACACCAATGCAAGGTCCTCCCATCAAAGCGGGGCTTTACAAGGCAATGATGTAAACAATCTTACATTTGCATTGCAAAGAAGTTGTTTCCAATAATCAAACCCATTAAGCTAAAAGAGCATGGAGGCAACTTGACAATTGCTACAATCCGCCCTCTTAAAATGGATCATTCAAAATATATTATTAAACTGCTCTTATACAAATAACAAGGCTGAGGTTAATCACATCTCAACTCATTCTAGTCTATATCTTGAAGTTAACCATTAATAACATTTTTAGAAGCTAGTTTTGAAAAACCAAATAATGTAATCACTCAGTTAATATATAGAAATCGACACCTTGAAGGACTAGTACTAAATATAAATAAGGAGTACATATTAATAGCCTAGTCCAACCATGCATACAATTACATGAATATGAGAGTTGTTTGCAACTCATTTGGATAATTTTTTTTGCAATACAAAATACTGAAAACACATAGATAACCCAAAAACAAATTAAAAACAATCAGGTAGATCTCTTCTGACGAATTCAAAATAAAAAAAAAGCCAAGAACCATTTTTTAGGTAATTTTTAGTTGCATGCTGGAAACTGTTTAAAATCAATAGAAAATTTCAAGGTATGACGTTCATAGCAATTACTCGCTTCATAGGAATGAAATGGCTAGATAGATATGATTGCTATGCATACTGAATGATGGAGCACAACACCCCTTATGATACTGATTGGGAAAGCAATATACCCGCGCGTGTAAATGAAAAAAAAAAAGGAAAATAAGTACCTTTATTGTTATTATTTTAGACGGTGTCTCCTATGACGATTGTATTATTTATAGAAAAGATAAAGATATAACACATGCACAATATTAATTGACATTAAATAGAATTACTTTATGTTTTGAAATGACCATGCATATTATTCCCAATGTCTTGTATAGTATTGTATTTTAGAAGCTTGAAATACTCACTAAGTTGCGACTCACTTTTTAATTGCAAAACATTCATGGGTATTATTCGATTAGCTTAAATGAGTGGAAGAGGAGATAACGTATATCATAAGTGCAATGCTCTAAGAGAAAAATATTTATAATATTTACTTTAAAATTTTGAGATTTTAATGTCTCTTTCAATGTATTAGAAATAGATTGTTAGTACACAAAAATTTAATCAACCATCCAACTATTTCTTCCCATCTCGTTAATTCGATCTTCTTGGCCGGGTTGTGACAACACCCAATTATAATGATATTATAGAAGAGCACATGATAGAAAGATAGCTGGCAAACACAAGAGAATGTTCTTATTGATTGAAGCTTGGACATAAAAAGCATCAACTCTATCTACTCTTATCCTGAAATAGAAAATAGACTGAGACTTAATATACAGTGATTTGCTCTTAAGGACTTTGTTCCCAAGATTTTTCATGTCACCATGTCCCTGTTATATTCCGTATTTGTTCGGTACCGATATACATGCTAACATGTGACTATGAGAACTCTTTGATAAAAAAAAAAATAAATAAATAAAAACAAGAGGCAATAGAAACGGTGTTTACGTTAAGGTAACAAGAAGCCTAAATTTTAACATCAAAGTGTAATGAACAGAATGGTTAACTACCTGAATTGCAAATGTCAGAGAAGATGCTTTATGATGGCGCTCCAATTTACCTCCAACTTCCTTTGCAACAAGCCATAGATCAGTAGTTTCATCAGCAGTGAGATCCACAAAGCGTTTAACTTCTCGCCTTGGGCATACAAGTACATGTAAACATTGTTAAGGCTAACTTAGGGCACAAGTATTTCCAATACTCTGATAAAAAAACAAATAAGATATCATAAAGAAAAAAAGGAGCACTAACATTTTGTGCATATACACACAAAATAAACAAATGTACATGGCAATAAGTTCATCTAGGAAATGTGGTAAGGAAATTTTGTTATCCAAGCAGTTTTTTGAGAAAATGATCAAAATAGTCCATTGACTCTTTACGAATGATCAAAATAATCCCCAACTATATTAAAAGATCACTTTTGTCACTCAACTCCTTAAAGAGGAATCAAAATAGTCCCATGTCCCATTTTCATTCTTTTTTTAAAGACTTGCGGGACCAAAATGATCATTTAATATAGTTAGATATCATTTTGGTCCTTCATAAGCAGTCAAGGAATTATTTTGACCACTTTCTCATTTTTTTAATAAATAAAATGTAGATGTAAGCAATTCATCTTTTTGGCCTAAATCCAGCTAGCCAGAAGTAAAATTTCAATGCATTCTCCTTGCATAAAATTTGAAGATGGGTTATGAAATATGTAACTCGTAGTCACTTGACATACTGCAAATAAAGCATCCATATCTATGACATGGGAAACAAGAAGATAGTGCGCGGTTTATTTTCCCTTTTGAGAAACCTTTACAAATTATAACCACGGCTTTAGCATAAAAGCATGCAAGTAGATATGCGCATATGAGTGTGTATTCGTTTCTGGGAGGGTTTATGAGTAAATTGAAGGGTTGATGAATGCACTTAATCTCGTAGTTCCAAAGAAGACACTTTCATTGGAAAAGGATATGACCTGCAAAAGTTCCAAAGAGCACTATTAGAAGAGAAATCGAATTTAAAACCTTTAACATTATTATTATATGAAGGCTACAATAAAACAAGAACAGAAGGATTATAGAGTATCTATGAAAATCCTACACAATCATAAGAAAAGTGCTGAACAAAATGTACCCCAACTCCATCCCTGATTCATCACGTGCAATCATCATTAGCCTTATCCCATGTATTTGGGATCAGATTTATGAATCCTCTTATGCCATTCATTTCTATCGAATGCTATAAATGGTGTTAACTCCAGTTCAAGCATTTTTTGTGCTCCATCAAGTTCTTCACATACATATACACAATCAATTTTTGAAGTGGAGTAATAATCTACAAACTGGGGACCTGCAATGCTTTAAGGGATAATTCTATAAGATGGTGGTGAGACCTGCAATGCTTTATGGTGCTGAATGTTGGCCATTAAAAGAGAAGCATAATACTAAATTAAGTGTTGCAGAGATGAGGATGCTTAGGTGGATGAGTGGCTTGACCCTTAGAGATAGGATACGAAATGAGCATATACGTGAAACGGTTGGAGTAGCTCCAGTGGAAGATAAGATTAGAGAGAGTCGCCTTAGATGGTTTGGTCACATTAAACGGAGGCCTTCCGATGACCCAGTTAGGAAAGTTGAGGTATTAGATTTGACTTTTGTTAAGAAAGGTAGAGGTAGACCTAAAAAGACTTGGTTAGAAAATATTAGAAATGATCTTTCTTTGTTAGATTTAAATGAGAATTTGACTTTTAACCAGACACTGACGAAAAAGGATTCATGCAGCCGACCCCACGTAGTGAGACAAAGGCTTGATGATGTTGTTGTTGTTGTAGTAATAATCTACAAAACCACATGACATAAAATGGATATATCACTAGAAAAATAAATTCTAATATCCACATAAAATGAATATGAAATCCATAAGTTTGGTAAGACACTCTTAACTACAAAAAAAAAATATAGCTGAGCATAATATTGATGCTAAACATATCGAGCTAAAGTGAAGCAGAGACTACCCACAACTACCTGTTGTTGGGCATGATATAGTCGAGGATTGGAATGATGATGCTAATCTAAGGTATTGTGTGAAGTTGCTCCAATGTCTATAATCCAAGTTTTTGGCAAGATGATGGATCTAGAGAAAAGAGCTAGATGGGCTGGTGGTTGCCCAATGCAAGTTAAGCCTAGTATGTGTCAATATTAAACTGTGGATATGATTAGGCTTGCCAAAAATATGACATTAGTGGAGAGAATATAGCAGTACCACCCTGGAGCCATTGAAGGAAAAACAACCATCTTGGTGTTGCGACCTCTGAAGAATTTGGTAGAAGCACGGGACTGGCTATGACCTCCCATGGCAGAAATGTTTGGGGGTTCATAAGTTGTAGTTGCTGGAGTTCTCGAGAGCCTTCACTGAAAAGTGAAAATATTTATTTCTTCACCCAAAAGAGTGAGTAAATGTTTTCTAGACTAAAAACTTGGAGGTTTGTTTTAAAAGTGATTTTGAAAGCTTAATAGGATGACGTAGACCATTAAGAGTGTAGAGTACAATGTCTTCTCGGTCCAATGATGTGTCGATTGCAATAATGGAATCACCTTTGGCTTTGATGGTTATAAATATTAAGCCATTATTTGATCCATCGTAGAGATATAGTGAAGCTCATTCTTCAATTGGATTATGCAAGATTGATTTGTGGATTGGTAGTCCCAATCTCGTAATAGGCATTGAGGGAGAGTAGCTATGATAAAAGAAACGGGGAAAATATAGAGTAAGGGCTACAACGAGATTTTGGTCATGACTTATCAGGTGGTCTATTGATAATTCTGAATGACAAAATTATCTTCTGGAAGGAACTGTTTCGTTGGGCATGAGATAGTGCCATCTAAATAACCATCAAACCAATTAGAACAAAACAACTTGAGATTTTGTAATGGCCACATAGTGTGGTTATCTAGAGTGATTTGAAGACTAATGATATGTCTGACGTTGGACATTAAAAGGATTGGGAGTGTCTCCCATGTTTGGAAGAGAAGTAACGTCACAACCAAAGTTGGTATGATGCATCACTCGATGAGTAAAGCAAACCACGAGTATGGCCACGTGAATTACTACTAGGTAAATTCTCTTATACAATAAAGAAGAAGCGTCATCTACTCTATTTAGACGTATACAGTGAAGAGAATGGATAAAGGCAGCAGGAAGATTACAATAGCCTTTTTCATTACATTAAGATAGGTCTACAGTGAGGTAATATATATAGAAATTAGTGCTAGATAACTTTACAGTTGTAAAGGTCTGTTAGAGATAAGGGGTAGGATTAATGTAGTGGCTTTGGATGAAGATTCTTGAAAGTAATAGGATCCGATATGGCAGAATTGATCTTGAAGATGTGCAAGCATTACTCATTATGAATTAGGTGAATGATTAGAGTAACATCTATTAATATGTAGCTCTCACCACAAACTAAAATTCGTATGCAATAAATGAAAAGGAGTACCTCAAAGGCATTACAAGCACTACGCTAGACCTAAATCATACATAAAATCTTAGACGTCTTCAAGTGTTGAATAGGATATTACAAGTTTTATATTAATATTTTCAATGTCATCATATTTACATCATCAATTTCATCGTAGTCATCATATCAGCACCATGTACCAACATTTAGGTAGACCTTCTCCATTCTGATAAACTCAAATCTTAGTCCATCTAAACAATTTTACTGTTATAATATCATTCAAGTTGATTTTGATTACAAAAGCTGAAATTATTACTAGGTCTGAGCTTTTTCCAGAAAATTAATTTAGCAAATAAAAATTTCAAAATTCCAGCAAATTCTAAATGGCAGTTTGGTAAACTGATAAAGAAGATCCAAAAAAGACAACCATTAAGCTATTTCCCCTGTGCCAATTCAAATCCACAGAGCTTTAGCTTCAAATTACCACAGTAGAAAAGAGTATAGGAGGAGACGGTCTACCAGGTAGCAGAGGCCTCAGATTGACAAGGGCGTATGAGAGTTTGGTAGAGTAGAAGACCTCGCTAGGGTTGATCTTGTACGGCCCGAATGAAAATTGCTCGCTCTCTTTTTGAGCCATCGCGTGGAAGAGACGCGCAGTTGGAGATGAAAACCGACGATTGAAGGTGAGTTTGGGAATGAACAGGCAGCGCGAGAAAGAGAAGCCGCTACACAAAAACTCACCGGCGGCGCTGACGGCACTTATTTTGGAAAGCGCTTGGGAACGAAGCAGGCTCATTCACGGCCGAAAGTGAGAGGCAACATATTGGCTTGTGGTCGAACATAGAAGGCAAGCAAAAGAGCAGCTGGGCTTTCCTGGGCTGGGCCATGCCACTTTTCTGGGCTAATGAGAAGCCCATGTCTAATACGACAAAATAATCAATACTATCAATCTATTTTAATAAAATCAGAGAAGGTATTAATAATTCAAAAAAATAATTTTTTTATTTAATGTGATAGACCTTTGATTAAATATAAATCATAAGGATAAATTTTAAAAGAGTGTATATTTTATTAAGGAGTGGTGAAATTCTTTATTAAATAGATGAATATTTAATATATATATTTTAAAATTATAATATTTAAATTCAATTAAAATTAAAATCATATTTATATGTTTAACTTAGAATATATAAAATTAATATTAAGATTAGTATAAGCCATTTTAATAAGTAGGTGAGGGTGATTCTTTTTAATAAATCCTTTTTCTTAATGATTATGCAAGGATGCATGACATAGGTCTGATATCTTAAAAAATATAAGTGCTGTTCATGTTTAAGTGATTTAAAATTTTTGTTTAAGAAAAAATGGCTGTTCTATTTGCATTCTATATTAATTGTCGTGGAGAGTTTACTTCCTAAGAGTTCAAGATATTTTGTAGAGATAGGGGAATTTAAAGTCAATTGACAGTTTACTTGAAGTCAAGGAAAAATTATTCTATGTGGTCATCGGTCAATGTTCAGAGGCAAATCAGGAAACACCGCATCATTTCTTTGCTGTGTACCGGTTGTGTACTGCTGTGTACCGGGTGACGTGGCGCATCCTGATTCGTTTTTGAACCATTTGATGACCGCACAAAATAATTTCTAGAAGTCAAGGGACTTCCTAATGACTACGAGATTATTTCTTACAACCATTTTTCAATAAGAGCGATAAAGAAAATACTCATTATTTTAAGCTTCCTTTTTCATTTTAAGCTTCCTTTTAAGCTATCCTCTGCATTCCCCCCTTAAAATGAAAAAGGAAGCTCTCCCCAAGCTGAACTCATGATAACTGAACTACTAGCTTTCCTTTAGGTTCAAGGAATAAAACCCTTAGAAGAAATTTTAAGAATTTTTATGCTATAGATTATATACTTATTCTAAATAAATAATGATAAAGGATATATTATGAGAGTATTAAATGCATCTTATTAGCTATAGCAAATAAATCGATGGCCATGAATTGAGATGTGTTATTTAATGAAAATGCTATATGGGATTGACAAAATGATTTTTTTTTTTTTTTTGGTTTCTTCAAATATACAAAACGAATATATATTTCTAGATCACATGATCAGGTAAATTTATAAAATAGTATTATTAAGGATTCATTTGGGACGATTTTTTTTATTGTTTTTTAAAGCAGCTTTTTAGTACAAAATTAAAGTTTTTGTACTAGAAAACTACTTTAAGAAACAGTAAGAAAATCATCCCAACGAAACCTAAATCTCCAAGTTCATCTCTTGGATTGTTTTCCTAGAAAAAAGAAAGCTGTTTTACTGAATTTGCCCATTTCATTGTAGATCCTACTTACTTTGGAGATGAATTTACAAAAGAAGAACAATGTGATGCAATGAATGAGGAGATTCACGCAATTGAAAAAAAATCATACATGGCAGCTGATAGATCTACCTATGATTAAAATAAAAATAATAAAAAAAAAACTACTGAACTAAAATGCATCTACAAATCAAATTTTAACTCTTATGGGACTCTCAAAAGGCATAAAATTCTATTGGTTATGAAAGGATATGTACAACTATTGGGGAAGTAAAAAATGCATCGAACAAAAGACAAGAAAGATTAAATGCAGCAGAAAGAAAGAACACTGGAATTTAACGTAAAATGCCCGAAACCATGAAAAAATTATGGAGCCATGCCACACCAAGAAATTCACTATAAAAATAAGGAGAAATATTATATATTTCTCTTATCTCTCTCTCCTTATCTCTCTACACCCTTGCAAAGTTCTCACACAAGAATAAACAAAGAGAAACTTAAATTAACCACCAAGGAATGCAGCCCTTAACGAAAAATCAGAAAAATATGTCATCTCATCTCGCAACTCTATATTGTTGTACTGTTGTACGAGAAAATAAAATTTCTCGAGTGAAAGGACCCCTTGTAACCCCCTAACAGACACGACAAACTGAATTAAGATCCGAAGTAACAATATAATCCAATTAATCAACACATAATCTGATTTCACACAGAACTAACAATAACAACAACGTATTGATTGCTTTGAAACTTTTGCTCCAGTTTTGAGAATTAATAACATTAGAACTATATTGACTTGATTTTCTAATGGTGATTTGGCCAGTTGCATTGATGATAGGAATAGCACAATATGCTATCTCATTAACCTTGATTCTGGAGCAATATTATGGGCATCCAAAAAGTAACTTACACAACACTTTCAAGCACTAAGATTGAATCTATTGCTGCACAATTGCATCATCTCATAAAATCTACCTGCAAAGATTTCAATTGATTTAAAGGAGATGTTCAATCACATTAAGTTTGCTATTGATTTGACAAAGAATTTGGTTCGCTAAATAAAAAGAAAACAATTTGAAATTCATTATCATTTCATCATAAATGTCATAACTAAATGAGATAGGGAACTCAAGCACTGTTATACTAAAAATCAATTGTAAGGTATTTAAGGATTTGGAAATTTTTAATTTCGTTTGGCTACTGCTTTTTCACTGATTTTTAGAAATTTTTATGGAGCAAAGCTGTTTTTTACAACTAGAGTAGCTAAGGCTTCGTTTGGGACGGCGTTCTTATAACTACTTCATAAAGCAATTTTTTAGTACAAAAATAAAAATTTTTGTACTAAAAAGCTGCTTTAAGAAGCTGTAAGAAAGCCGTCCCAAATGAAGCCTAAGTTTCTTTCCCCGTATCAACTTTTTCAAAAGCTTTTACAATATATGGCTATACTTTTGAGACTGAATTAAGCGCCATATCTATCCATCCCCTCGTTTATGAGGTTTTGATTAGTTTCTTTGAAGAGAAATGTCTTGACATCTTCTCTTCCATGACGATCTATTTGGCTACATTAACTTCTTTGATTTGAAGCCTTCTTTTATTTGGAGCAGATCCTATAAATATTTTTCCTTTGGGCACTTTTTCCTTTCATCTTGTAACAGTCACTCATTTTTAACATAAAAAGAGGTCCAGCCCTTACTTTTCTCATAAAAAAAATTGCTTTAAGCTCTTATGTCACCTGCAGCCAAGCATTTATTCTTCATTTGTGGTGGAAAACAATAGAATTATGTGATTCTTCAGCAATCCTTCCATTTCCCCGATAAAGGTTATTCTAAGGATACAATTCTTCCACGCTGAGATTCTTTTGTGCTTCATTAGTGACTTATTTAAGCTTAATTCGACATAGCTTTTGTGCTTAAATTTTGCTTTGCAATGATAATTTGAGTTCTTTATTAGAAGACTAAGTTAGCAGAGTGACATAATGATGAGGATTACAAAGTCCTTGCAGAACATTATATGGCTAATTCACTTACCACTACTGTTGTTTACTATTCATTTCCTTTCTCTGTTAGTTACAGTACCGTACCTTTTTATTTTTGATTCTCCTTATTAAGTATTCACCAGTTTAACAGGAAATACTAATATATATAAAATGTATTAGTGGTAAAGGAAAGACGGAAGAATATTTTTACTTTGAATTACTATGTTATTGATTTTACTTGCTCCTGCATTAATTTGGTATCAGAGTTAGCACTCTGTTGTGATGGCAGAAGAAAGCAAACACTCTAGGCCTGACGATGATCGGAGTTTGGAAGTTTTATGGGCAGGACAATAACACACATCCAAAAAACTGGATGAACTCATCTCTGCTTTCTTTCGTTTCTAAAATGAAATGTGAGATGAGATGAGACGAGACAAATCAACGCGGTACCACTACAAACCCAATAGGCAATAGTTCACCTAATTTATCCGGTACCCACATCGGCGCCAAGAGCACCAGCTTGTCCTAGATGAGCCCATATGAGAGTTTTGTTCAATAGAACGGGGCACCCAATGGCACATCACCAGGGGCACGGAAGCTTCTGCGTCAAGTTGGACATTCCAGTTTTTGATGGGCGGCTACGCATAGAGGACTATTTGGATTGGAAAATCACAGTCGAAATCTTCTTTTAGTATATGGAGATTTCTCCGGATAAACAAGTTAAATATGTTGCTTGCCAACTCATGGGAAGAGCAAGTGCAATGTGGCTTCAGTTCCAGCTAAGCCATTAGAGAGAAGGCAAAGGACTAGTTTGTAATTAACACATGAAACAATTTTTTGAGAGGGCATTTTCTACCTAATGATTTTGAGCAACTACTCTATCTAAAATATCAACAATGTAAACAAGGGCAACGATATGTTAGTGAGTATACCAAGGAATTTTATCGCCTTAGCACCTACAATAATTTAAAGAAACATAGAACTAGATGGTGGCACGCTATATTGGAGGCTTGAAAGACAATCTTTAGGACAAATTGGAGCTTAATTCGGTTTGGTCCCTGTCCCAGGCAGTTAACTTTGCTTTAAAGACAGAAGTACAAATTCAACAGCACTATATTGATTATCCAACTAGTCGATTTGTTTATGATTGAAAACTGAACAGGCAAGACCTACCTTTACTCCAACTAAGCAATAGGCTAATTATTAGAGCACAATATATAAATGCGTATATATTTATCTGTTAGTTTTTTACTTGTCTAGCTGACGTGTCGTTCTAGGATTAGTCTTTGCTTTCTTGTTCCGTACCAGCTAACCTATATATAGGCTCCACTAGTTATCGTGTAAGATATTCAAGATTTACTTTCTTAAGAACTTTCCTTTTCCTCTTTTCTGTATTCTGCTGGATCCATCAGTTTCTTCATGGTATCAGAGCAAAAAAAAAACTAACAGATAAAAATATACACATTTATATATTGTGCTCTAATACTAATGCCACCGCCCCCGTTGCCAACCAAACTATTGAACTTTTCGGACCGAT